TTTTACTGTTTTTAAACCTCAATTTTCCATGATTCTCTCACGTACATTCACATCTGCTCGATGCGTATCCAAATGTAAACAAATGACGTCACACATTATGAAATGGACAAAGTCCGACAATAATTTTTTTAAGACATTATTATTATTTTATTATAAACAGAGCATTTATTTACTTAAATATTTGCATCTATAAAAAGAAGGTATAAACATACAAAAAATGTCTTTAAAAAACAATACGAAGAGACGGATATATATATATATATATATATATATATATATATATATATATATAGATTGATAGATAGATAGATAAATAGAGAGAGAAAAAAAAATTTGAAATGGAGAAAGTCCGACAAATATTTTAAGAGATTTTTATGTTTATACATTCTTTTTTATAGATACAAATATTTAAGTAAATGCTCTGTTTTATAATAAACAGTATTAACAACATTTACAGGCCTGAATGTCCGAGAAATTTTCATAGAAAATATGCGTCCTCCAACAGGAATCGAACCTGTATCCTATACGGAACCGTCATATAGCCTGACGTGCTTTTACCGATTTAGCCACAGAGGAGCGTTTCGGTTAGCAAGGTCAATTTTTATGTTTTTAAACTCCAACTACAACATAAAAATATCTTAAAATAATTATCGGACTTTGTCCATTTCATAATGTGTGACTTCATTTGTTTACATTTGGATACGCATCGAGCAGATATGAATGTACGTGAGAAAAACATGGAAAAACTAATCATGATTAGTTAAAACTAAAATAAAAGTATATATATATATATATATATATATATATATAATGAAATAGATTATGTCCTAAAATTATTTTGATATATTTATTGTATAAACGTTATTATTATAAATACAGATATTTAAGTAAGTGTTCTCTTTATAATAAATAATATTAACAACAATTAACAGACTGAATATCCGAGAAATTTCATAGAAAGTATGTGTCCCCCAACAATAATCGAACCTGTATCCTCCACGGAACTGTCATATAGCCTGACGTGCTATACCATTGAGCTACAGAGGAAGCATATGGTTAGCAAGCCCGAATTACTGCTTTTAAACTACAAATTTCTCATTATCTTTCACGAACGCTTATATCTGCCGAAGAGCGCATTTTTTATATTTATATATTTTCGAAGGACTTCAATGTCCACTTTCATATATATATATATATATATATATATATATATATATATATATATATATGTTTAGTGTATTGGAGCAGCAGATCATTATTTAAACATATATTGTTAAATATAACAGACAATGAATGTCTATTATGATTGACCATGAACCGTTCTAAACTTCGTATGGTTGCTTTAATTTCGAGTGAAATTAAAGACAAAAATTGACCAATATCCAACTGTTTTTCATTGTTTTATATTGATTTGATTAAATATGTTCTTTATTTGAACCCAATTCATATATATATATAGATGTGTGTGTGTGTGTGTGTGTGTGTGTGTGTGTGTGTGCATGTATCTATATATATATCATGAAATGAATTAGGTCCGACAATTATTTAATATATTTTCAGTTTATATGTTAGTTTTATAGATACAATTTATTTAATTAAATTCTCTATTTTTTAATTAAACTGCATTAATTACATTTACCGGCCTGAATGTTTCGAGAAATTTCGTAGAAAATATGCGTTTTCCAACAGGAATGAAATTTGTATTCCTATACGGAAACTGTTATTTGGCCAGACGTGGTATACCAATCAGCTACAGAGAAGCGTCTTGTTAGCAAAGTCCAAATTACTGCTTATAAACACACAATCTTCGACGATTTTTCTCGACTGCTAATTTCTGCTCACTTAAACAATGATATGTTGTCATTGTTTACGTTAAGATACATTTCATCAGGCAAAATCGCGGTTTCCATGTAGGAATACACGTATGATTCCTGTCGGGGAACACATATTTTGTGAGAAATTTCTCGAACATTCAAGCCGATAAATGTAATTAATAGTTATAGATTAAAATCAGAGCATCTATAAAAATATCGTTCAAACAGAAAAGAATATATATATATATATATATATATATATATATATATATATATATATATATATATATAATGTAATGAGAACGAAAGTAATATATAAATTCTAACGTTTACAGCATTAATCCAAAAGAGTGCTCTATAGTAGAGCGATAATTATTTATTATAATTTTATCATATAGACAAAAACAGTTTACTCATTAAAAAGATGCAACTCCGTTTCGGTGCATTTCCTTTTGTGTATAAGATAAAAAATTATTATATATATATATATATATATATATATATATATATATATATATATATATTTCTACCATCTTTGGTTGGCTCCCTTACATAGTTCCAATGGAAAAATTTTAAATTTTAATATAATTATGTCAGAGCGCGTTCATGCGTGTTTCTAAAAAATCACTATCACAGGGAACAGAGTTACGATAAAAGATTATCTTTCTTCGCAATTCAGGATGATCACGGAGATCGAAAGTACTTGCATTAACAGAAACTACAGCGCCTTCTTTAATGAATTTCAGCTTAACATCAAGAAGCTAATTAGTGAACTAGAAAGTATTATTATAAAAATAAATAGGCATATACCTATATTATTCAATTAAACATCCTTGAATGAATAAATACACACACATATATTATGTGTACTTGTGTATTTTCGTTGATTTATATCAATTTGTAAATCTTTCTTTTCATTCCAAAATCACTTCTCTCTTACTCTCCCTCCCTCTCTTTCTCTCAAGATATCCTGATGTACGCATGCGCAGTTTCTCAACAAGTATTCTCAAAGCAAGCCTCGTCTTGAATATTACCGGTGATTTGACAAGTGGATTTTTAATGAGTTTGCATAATTCGTCACCATAGCGACATTAACACACCCAGGTGGAGGTGAATAATTTGACTGGGGGGCTTTGAACAACGCACTTCTTCGCTAATATAAAGACTACGTCTTCTGAAAGGGGTGCCAGGATTTATACGGTTCAATTCCTCCTCCTTTACGGAAAAGAAAGAAAGAAAGAAAGAAAAAGACAAACCGACAAACAAAATCAAAAAAACAATTTGAAAGCAAAAAGACTAAAGAGGAAAAAAGAAAGAAAGGGAGGACATGTGGATACAAAGAAAAAAAAGAAAGACAGAAAGAAAAGAAAGAAAGAAAGAAAGAAAGAATGAAAGAGAGAAACCGATCAAAAAGGCAAATTGAAAGCAGAAAGACGAAACAGAAAAAAGAAAGGGCTGACTTCTAGATACAAAGAAAGAAAGAAAGAAAGAAAGAAAGAGAGAGACGAACCGGCAAACAAAAACCAAAAAACAATTTGAAAGCAAAAAGACTAAAGAGGAAAAAAGAAAGAAAGGGCGGACTTGTGGATACAAAGAAAAAAAGAAAGACAGAAAGAAAAGAAAGAAAGAAAGAAAGAAAGAGAGAAATCGACAAACAAAATCAAAATGGCAAATTGAAAGCAAAAAGACGAAACAGAAAAAAGAAAGGGCTGACTTCTAGATGCAAAGAAAGAAAGAAAGAAAGAAAGAAAGAAAGAAAGAAAGAAAGAAAGAAAGAAAGAGAGAGACAAACCGACAAAAAAAAAAAACAATTTGAAAGCAAAAAAAAAGACTAAAGAAAAAAAAAAGAAAGAAAGGGCGGACTTGTGGATACAAAGAAAAAAAGAAAGACAGAAAGAAAGAAAGAAAGAAAGAAAGAAAGAAAGAAAGAATGAAAGAGAGACAAACAAACAAAATCAAAAAGGCAAATTGAAAGCAGAAAGACGAAACAGAAAAAAGAAAGGGCTGACTTCTAGATACAAAGAAAGAAAGAAAGAAAGAAAGAAAGAAAGAAAGAAAGAAAGAAAGAAAGAGAGAGACAAACCGACAAACAAAAACAAAAAAACAATTTGAAAGCAAAAAGACTAAAGAGGAAAAAAGAAAGAAAGGGCGGACTTGTGGATACAAAGAAAAAAAGAAAGACAGAAAGAAAAAAAAGAAAGAAAGAAAAAAGAAAGAAAGAAAAAAGAAATAAAAAGACAAACAGACAAACAAAATGAAAAAAGCAAATTGAAAGCAAAAAGATAAAACAGAAAAAAAGAAAGGGGCGGACTTGTGGATACAAAGAAAGAAAGAAAGAAAGAAAGAAAGAAAGAAAGAAAGAAAGAAAGAAGGAAAGAAAGAAAGTAAAGCCTAGATAAATAGAAAGAAAGAAAGAAAGAAAGAAAGAAAGAAAGAAAGAAAGAAAGAAAGAAAGAAAGAATGTAAAGTCTAGGTAAATAGAAAGATAGAAAGAAAGAAGAAAGTAAAGTCTAGGTAAATTAAAAGAAAGAAAGAAAGAAAGAAAGAGAGACAAACAAGCAAAATCAAAAAGGCAAATTGAAAGCAGAAAGACAAAACAGGAAAAAGAAAGGGCTGACTTCTAGATACAAAGAAAGAAAGAAAGAAAGAAAGAAAGAAAGAAAGAGACAAACCCACAAACAAAATAAAAAAAAAACAAATTGAAAGCAAAAAGACGATACAGAAAAAAAAAGAAAGCGCGTACTTCTACATACAAAGAAAGAAAGAAAGAAAGAAAGAAAGAAAGAAAGAAAGAAAGGAGAGGTACAGGGCGAATTGAGAAAGACTGAAAAAAGAAAGAGTGAATCAAAGAGAAAAAAACCTGGATGAGATCAGTACTTTTTTCCAATACCAATATCCACTACACCACTTTTTCATCGTTTAGTTTACACCGTGGGTTCAATCCCTGCATCAGGTACTGTAATCTATTTAATCTGGTTCTGCGAAACGGGAAAACAAAAAATCGGCATCGGATGAACAAAAATAACACAAATAAGCAACAAAATAAACGAAATCAACCTAAATTACGGACACCTGATAATAACCAGAGTGTATTTGCTCGAAACGTTGTGCCTATAGTAACATCTCTTTAGATCCTACGTGATCTGGACCGACTCGGCCACGAAGTGCATCGCAGATCAAGGATAGCCGTATAGACCTTCCCAGATTCAAGAAAGTTCGTATCTGCTCCGTTTCTGGTCCGAGCGTAGTTCTGGGTATGACGATAAACTACATCCGGCAGCAAATCCGGAGGTGAGAGGTTTTCAGGTGCTTTGGACAATCTCTTGAAGTTGTTCAAAGTTTCACCCAATTTACAGTTGAAGTGGCTAAATGTAACAATAAGTTCAATGTTAACATTATTTCTCGTTTTGGGTATGACGATAAACTACATCCGGCAGCAAAGGCCTTTGATCCGGAGGTGAGAGGTTTTCACGAGCTTCGGACAATCTCTTACTTGATGTTGTTCAAAGTTTCACCCAATTTACAGTTGAAGTGGCTAAATGTAACAATAAGTTCAATGTTAACATTATTTCTCGTTTTGGGTATGACGATAAACTACATCCGGCAGCAAAGGCCTTTCATCCGGAGGTGAGAGGTTTTCACGAGCTTCGGACAATCTCTTACTTGATGTTGTTCAAAGTTTCACCCAATTTACAGTTGAAGTGGCTAAATGTAACAATAAGTTCAATGTTAACATTTTTCTCGTTTTGGGTATGACGATAAACTACATCCGGCAGCAAAGGCCTTTTCATCCGGAGGTGAGGGGTTTTCACGAGCTTGGGCAATCTCTTACTTGATGTTGTTCAAAGTTTCACCCAATTTACAGTTGAAGTGGCTAAATGTAAATAATAAGTTCAATGTTAACATTATTTTTCGTTTTGGGTATGACGATAAACTACATCCGGCAGCAAAGGCCTTTGATCCGAGGTGAGAGGTTTTCACGAGCTTCGGACAATCTCTTACTTGATGTTGTTCAAAGTTTCACCCAATTTACAGTTGAAGTGGCTAAATGTAACAATAAGTTCAATGTTAACATTATTTCTCGTTTTGGGTATGACGATAAACTACATCCGGCAGCAAAGGCCTTTGATCCGGAGGTGAGAGGTTTTCACGAGCTTCGGACAATCTCTTACTTGATGTTGTTCAAAGTTTCACCCAATTTACAGTTGAAGTGGCTAGATGTAACAATATTTTTCTCGCCCTTCTCGCTTCTTCTTCTGGTTCCATTCTTTCCGGCTCCATTCTTTCCGACCAACTTTGATCTTGAAAAATATGTCAGTCTTTATCTCAGGTCTTTCTGCTTACTCTTCTATTGTTCCTAACCCCTACATAATATTTCTGTTTTCTAATTCTTCCACACCCAGTAACCCATACATACATACATACATATATATATATATATATATATATATATATATATATATATATAGTTTATGCAAAATTAGGTAATCCGCATGGTAGACCCATGGAGGATGATATCCGGAGAGCTCAATGTAAAATTCAGAGCCGATATGTTTGAATAAAAACAGACCACTTTAAGGTTCCATGTAATAAGCTAACAGGGCTCTGGATCATCAGACTTTACTTCCAAAGGTTGAAATGAAAAATGAAAAGAAATTCACACGGACCGCATCAAGTATATGTAAAATTAACGAAGTGAGGAAGTGAGGTGGGAGAGAAGATAAGATATGAGTGGGTTAGATTTACCATTTCAATTCCTTATTCTTAACCCCACTGTGTGTCTGCTAACGCATATTGTATATATATATAGTCTGTCCTGCTATTTTCCCCATAGCTGGAGGGAGAGGAAGAGGATTCATACCTTTCCCAGGGGTATTAGCACGTAAGTGAATGTAATGGATTCGAATAGCTTCTATAGCCTTGGATGGGAACTGGTCTAGGAGAAGGACAACTCTGAATTCAAAATCTGCGGAGGGTCGTTTGGGGTCTCTGTATTCGTCCCTTCAAAAAGTGTGGATGGTCCTGCACGAAACCTTCACTACTATAATCAAATCTCATGTGCTGTTGTCCGGTTGTCGGTTTCCTGGGAACTGATCTGCTTGACTCTCATACGTCGAATTTCGACGGAGAGTCGACTATATATATATATATATATATATATATATATATATATATATATATATATATATATATATAAACCACTTCCATTGTAATAATTTATTTCACCAGAGAATTTTATTTTTCTTTGGATCTTCAGACTTCACTTCCAAAGGTGAAACGAAAAATGAATTTAAAATTTACACTTTTGACGGGCAGTATTAAGCTTATATAAGTTGAATTAGAGGGTGATGAGGAATGGTGTGAGAGACATGGTCGAGTTTAGAGAGTGAAGGGAGAGTTTAAAATTTATCTTTATATTTCTTTCTATTATAATACTTAGTATTGAGGAAGGAGGGGGGTAGTGATCAGACATTGACCTATTTAATCGGTCAACTTAACGAAAATGATACTGGAAATTTAAAAAAGAAAAAATAGAGAAGTAAAGAGATAAGAGATCTACGTAGATTTTTTGGAGGAAGGAGAGGGGTGGTATAACGTTAGCAATTTAGATAAAAACAGACTTTAACGTTTGATAGTAATTTAAATTTTAAAAAAAAACTATACAAAGAAATTAAATTTAATGCTTGTTAGCTATTTAAATATTCAACTTCTCCACAAATAAATTAAAGATTTAATATAAGCCGAATATCGTATTAATAAAAAAAATTTTAATAGTAATATATTAATACTGTGAATGACTATTAGAGTAAAATCTTTATCAGTTTGAGTCTAAAACATGAATTTAATTTGTAGCAATTTTTAGATGGGTAATATTTCTTAATTAAAGTTTAGATTTCAAATCAAGATGGAGTAAGATTTGAACGTAATATATATATATATATATATATATATATATATATATATGGCAGACTTTCCCGTTGTATTCAGCATATGAGAGTCAAGCAGCTCAGATCCTAAGAACCGACATATGATTTGATTATAGTGGTGAAGGCATTGTGCAGAACCAACCACACTTTTTGAAGAGCCGAATACAGAGAGCTGGCGCTACACGGCCCCCAAACGAGCCTCTGCAAGCCTTGAATTCAAAGTTGTCTTTCTCCTAGACCAGTTGCCAGCCAAGGCTATAGAAGCCAGTCGAATCCATTACATTCACTTACGTGCTAATACCCCTGGGAAAGGGATGAATCCTCTTCCTCTCCCTCCAGCTATGGGGAAAATAGCAGGACAGACTATATATATATACAATATTTACCCATAACTGGGAGGAAGAAGTAAGGATTAATACTTTTTACAAGGATATTATCACGTAAGTGAACGTAATGGATTCGAGTGGAATTCGAACTCAGTTTCACTGTCCTATGAATATATATATATATATATAAATATATATATATATATATATATATATATATATATATATATATATATATATATATATATATATATATATATATATATATATATATATATATATATATGCATGTTTCATTAAAAAGGACAGACAAGATACTACGGTTAAGCTTTTTATTTAATTTTTCTTACGTTCTGACAAGCGCTTGCTTTTCTGGACACAGGGTGTGTAAGAACTGTCCAAATGTTTTATATTTCCGAGCACTTTCGTCTATACCTTTAGTCATTATCAAGGATGATTCGATTTTCAGCTTAATTGGGTGTGTGCGTTCTGTGTAGTCTTTTTTTGCAGGTGGATGCAGTTAATATATTTGTGTTGTTCTACTAGTATGTTTCTAATGTAGTCTGTTAAATTTGTGTGTGTGTTTAAGTGGGTTCTAATGGAACTGTGATCAGATAGGTGTAACGTAAGACGTCTGGATAAGCATGTGGTTGTGTAGCCAATGTAATTATTTATGAGTCCGCTTTGATCAGGAACACAGTTCCTTAAGGGGCATTTGAACTCATAGATAATGTACGTTCTTTGTAATTTTGACTTAGTTGGTGTGTTGTTATTTTTGTGGATAAGGTTGGCTGTCTTCAATTTTTTATAATAGATAATAAATTTGATTTTTTTATTCTCTTAACAATATTTACTACGAACAAAGCCACAATGTGCTAACCGTATTCGGAAATTAAAAACACCCCTACAGCACACTGATACATACACAGAACGCATACACTCAACTAAGCTGAAAATCGAATCATCCTTCATAATGGCTAAAGGTATAGCCGAAAGCGCTCGGAAATATAAAACATTTGGACAGTTTTTACACACCCTTTGTCCAGAAAAGAAAGCTCTTTTCAGAACACAAGAAAAATTAAATAAAAAGCTTAACCGTAGTACCTTGTCTGTCGTTTTAATGAAACATGCATAAAGGAAGGATTGCTGCCTAAATATACAACTATATATATATATATATATATATATATATATATATATATAATAAAAAAGGCTTAAACACTAGTACTCCATGGTCATAATTTATTATATTGGAATCGTAATCACGATCGTAATCACGATCCAATTCATCAGATCTACAAATTCAAAAAAAAAAATCAGAAAAAATAACTCCGGGAATAAAAAATAAATAATAAATAATGTTCTACCTGGATTCTATTCTCTTGGAATTTTTTTACACACACACACACACATATATATATATGTGTGTGTGTGTGTGTGTGTACGTTTGTATATATGTATGTGTGTGTGTATGTACGTTTGTATATATATATATGTGTGTGTACGTACGTTTTTATATATATGTGTGTGTTTTAGATATATGTACATATATGTATGTGTATATTAACTACTAATATTATCAATATATATATATATATATATATATATATATATATATATATATAGTTATCCAGATACAAGTTTGCCTAGACATCCGATTCCTTCAAATGGGGGTCGACTGATTTGGCATCTGACAAAGATTCTACCAATTAGCTATCGGCGCAACAGCAGAGAAAGGGATATTTCTAACGTATTGTGTGTGTTTATATATATATATATATATATATATATACATACACACATATATATATATATATATATATATATATATATGAAATAAAATTGCAATATATATATATATATATTAAAAAATTATAGCATATGCATGTTATAACATCACTACAAAATTGTAATTTTGTTTCAACACCACTAGTGTCTTATCAAGTGATGGTGTTGAATTCAAAATAAACGGGTTTCACTGTTCAAAAAACAACTAA